AAAAAAAAACAGAAAGAGTGAGGGCTGTATTCCAACTTATTTAAACAGCTGTTTTGTATGTTTGATTTTTGTATGTTTTTATCATTCCATGCCACTTTGAATTTTTAGGGCCAGTGGGGAAATAGAATATATTTATACATATTAAATATCTAACAGTATAATTCTAGGTAACAACTTCTGTTTTGTCCACTGTTAAACCTGTTGTTGGAACAGAAAATAATTAGCAAAATGAGCCAGGTTTGAATTTCACGTTCCCTCCCTTCCCCTATCCATGTTCCAGGGGAGGTGCTAACAAGCAGTGAAATGGCTTGAAAGCTGGCAAAGAGAGAAGAAGAGAGAAGCATTGGATAGTGTCTCAGAAATAAACCACAAAATAATTTTGTTGGGAGTAGAGGGGTTTCATTTGTTTGGGGTTTTTTTGTTTGTTTGTTTTTTTAGGCAAGTGGGGGTAAGTGGCTTGCCTAGGGTCACACAGCTAGTAAGTGTCAAGTGTTTGGTCTGAGGACTGATTTGAACTCAGGTCCTCCTGACTTAAGGGCCACTGCTCTATCCACTGTGCCACCTAGCTGCCCTTTTTCTTTTCTTTGTTTGGTTTTTTGTTGTAGTTGTTTGTTGTTGTTGTTTTAATCAAGGGGTTTTAAAAGGTTTTAGCCTATGATCATGCCCCACAGCTAATGTAAGCTTTGTCAAGTTGGGAGTGTCATATGCAGAACAGAATGTGTACTCCTGGATTTCATTTGTTCCTGTGATTTTTGGGTAATTGTTCATTACGACTGCATGGAAGAGAAGTTTGTGCTTCGTGTTGACCTGAGGAAAAATTCCTTTCCACGTGCTAACTTGATTCCCTTCTTTGTCCCTCTCCTTTTTTTTCTAGCACAAATGGACCCCCGAGGCCTATCTCCCAGACAAATTAAAAGTGACAGTGATGATGATGACCTGCCAAATGTGACCTTAGATAGCGTTAATGAAACTGGATCTACAGCCCTTTCCATAGCCAGAGCAGTACAAGAGTAAGTATCACATTCTCAGGATGAAGTAAGAATTGTCAGTGTTCAGTGGAAAATGGGAACTACAGTCTTCAGCTGGCATGCAGATAGATCGCTTTGGCTTGGGGGTGGCGCATTTCAGGAGAAGATTAAGTAAAAGATGAGTTTGTTTGTTTCAGTGGTGGTAAATATGGGTCAGGATGGCTAAACAAAAAAAAAAATCAAAAATGATTCTCTGAGGAATACATATTTATTTATGTTTATACATATGCTTTTTATAGGATCTCCCATTTCCTTATCTTCAGCTCTGAAGGATTTTTTTTTTACAAAGTTTTCTGAATGTTACCAGTATCCTTTCAGTCTGTTTTAAGAGCTATCTCAAGCATAGTAAGTTGGACATTTGTTGTGAAGATGAAATTACTTGAGAAAGCACTTTGAAAATTAAAAAGTAGGCTGTGAATGAAAGCGAATTGTTTTCGGTTTCTTTTTCTAAGCTCTAAGTCGGCTTAGGCTAAGGTTCATGCTCACTGAGTCTTCATGACTTTTATTAGTATTAACTGCATATATCTAGAAATGAGTCCTTTGACAAGCAGTGTGCATATATGTATGTATTGTTCTGAATCAAATAGCTTTGTAAAATTTTCTTCCCTGGGACAGTAGGTAGCGTTTGTAATTAGAGAACCTGATTTATCAAATAGCTCGGCATATACAATTTGTAGGTTTACAGATTTGTACCATTACTACTTCTAGTTACCACTGTATGGCCCTTGGGTTTTTGTTCTTATTCCGTAGTCATGTGACCTGTGAGCAGAAAACCTAATCGGTTCTTAAACTTCATTAAAAAAGAATCGTTTCCAGATCAAGCACGGTGATCATGTTTTTGTACTCTGCGTGGTCAGGCCATACATGTATTATCATGCCAGTTCTGTGTGCTGCATTTTAGAAAAGACATAGGCAAAGTGGAGCATTTCCAGGGGATGATGAGCAGAATGCTGAGGAGACTGGAAAATGTACCCTATTAAGACCAGTTGGGCATTTCTACCCAAAATTTTATCATTTATTTATTTTTAGAATTAATTTTTAAAAATTTTTGAGTTTTGAATTGTCTCCCTCATTACCCCTCCCCCACCCAGTAAGAAGGCAAGAAATGTGATAACTGATTATAAATTTTACAAAAAACTTGTGAAATTTTACAAAACTTATTTCTGTATCTGCCATGTTACAAAAAAAAAAAGTAAGAATAATAAACAAATTTTTTAAAGTTGTGCTTCACTCTGCCTTCAGACTCCATCAGTTCTTTCTCTTGAGGTGGATAGCATTTTTCATATTAAGCCTTTGGAATAGGCATGGATAATTATATTGATCAGAATAGTTGATCATCATACAATATTGCTGTAATTGTGTAGGTTCGCCTAGTTCTGCTCATTTCACTTTGTATCAGTTCATGTAAATCTTTCCGGGTTTTTCTGTAAGCATCCTGCTCATCATTTTTATAGCACAATAATATTCCATCACAATCGTAAACGAAAGTTTGTTCCAGATATTCCTCAATGGATGGGCATCCCCTCAATTTCTAATTCTTTGCCACTGCTAAAAGAGCTGCTCTAAATATTTCTGTACATATAGGTCCTTTTCCTCTTTCTTTGACCTCCTTGTGATATGGACCTAGTAGTAGTGGTATTTCTGGGTCATAGAGTATGCAGTTTTATAGCTCTTTGGGCGTAGTTCCAAATTGTTGTCCAGAATGGTAGAGTCCACAACTCTGCCAACAGTGCATCAGTGCCCCAATTTTCCCGCAACCCCTTCAACATTTGTCATTTTCCTTTTCTGTCATATTAGCCAATCTAATAGGTATGAGATGGTACCTCAGAGCTGTTTTAATTTGCATTTCTTTAATCCATAGTGATTTAGAGCATTTTTTCATATAACTATGGATATCTTTGATTTCTTTCGCTGAAAACTGCCTATTCATATCCTTTGACCATTTATCAATTGAAGAATGACTCGTATTCTTATAAATTTGACTCAGTCTTCTATATATTGAGAAATGAGGCATTTATCAAAGAAACTTGATATAAAAAATTTTTTTCCGCAGTTTCCTGCTTTCCTTTCAATCTTGTCTGCATTGTGTTTGTTAGTGCAAAAACTTTTGAATTTAATGTAATCAGAATTATCTATTTTACTTCCCATTATCATCTGTCTTTTATTTGGTCACAAATTCTTCCCTTAACCATAGGCCTGACAGGTAAAACTTTCCGTGCTTCTCTAATTTGCTTATGATATCACCCTTTATATCTAAATCATGTACCTATTTTGACTTTATCTTAGTATATGGTGTGAGATGCTGGTCTGTACCTAGTTTCTGCCAAACTGCTTTCTAGTTTTCTCAGCTATTTTTGTCACATAGTGAGGAACTGTGTATTTTTAGAAAGACCTTAGGGCACAGTAATTAAAATATAGTGCCTAAGGGACTATTGCATGGAAGGTGAATTTGAATTCCTCAGCTTGGGCACAGAGAGCAATGAATGAAAGTTACAAGGAGGCAGATTTCAGATCAGCAGGAGGAAAAACTTCCTACCAATTAACGTTGTACAGAAATGAATGGAATCTCAGGAAGCACACTAAATTATAGTGTAATTATGTTAAATACTGTTAGTGATTCATTGGAATACAAATCATACTGCTTCAGTTATTAGTCTTCCTTTATTCAGGGGCCTTGTGGCATAGTAGATAACGAGTCAGCCTCTAGGAAGCCCTAAGTTCAAGGCCAGCCTCTAACAAGGACAACTTGGGCAGATCACTTAACTTCACAATGCTCCAAGCAACTCTCTAAAACTATAAACTGCTGATAAGGTATTGATAATGTACTGGTAGATGGTGTTTTCTCACTAGGAATACCAATGCCAAGGAAATCACATCTCTTAATGGCAGTATGGTTCAGGAGTAAGAAACCTTCACAGAGTGAAAAGTCCTGGGTTTTAATCCTGGCTCAGCCATTAACTCCCGTTGTGACGTTAGGCAAGTCACATCATCTCTCTTCTACCTTGTTTTTTCACCTGTAAAATTAGGGGGCTACACTAGAAGACTGTAAGATTCCTCTGGCTCTAAAACTGGGGATCCTATGAATTTTGTGGCTGTGATTACCAAAATCTGAATTATCAAAGTGATCCCTCATCCTCACCTTTTGTTTTCAGTTTTTAGAATACATTGTGTTGAGTTCCTGTCAGAGCAATGTCTTATGAAAATCAGATGCGGTCTGCTCACTGTAAAATAGTGCATTGAAGAGTGAAAGGATTGGTTAGTCTCCAAATGTGTTATTTGTAAGGCACCATGTTAATTAATACCTGAGAAAAAAGAATGTGGAAGTTGCCCACCAGGTGTGTATCTATGTTCTTACATATCTCATCTTTCCATTTCCATAATGTGGTTTCACTGCAACAAAAATTGTGTATGTGTGCGTACGTGTGTGTGCACACAAGCGCGTGGGCACATGCTTGTGCCTTGGGAAATGCCTGATTCATTATTCATAGAACTGTTTTCATTAAGCTATTAGGAAAGTGTACACCAGTCTGTCACCTGGGAAGCCCTACAGCTAGCTGCAATATAAAGAGTTAATTAGCTATTATTCAAGAAAGAAAGGTGATGGCAGTAATCACTGAGAAGTGCTGAGATGGTTTTAGGTGATTTTTTTTTCCTAAGGATTATTTGACCAAGAGAATTGAAATTTAGGTATCTTGGAAAATACAGCTGTGCCATGTCAGGGAAACCCTTCCTTATAAATCATTTGAGTCAGGGCAACTACGTTAAGCTAAATTTAGGATCGTAGAATTTCATCTCTCTCTGTCGTCGCTCCCTGGTGGCTCTCAGAATTGTTCTCTTGCAGTACCGCTACGTTAATCTTGCATATCTGTTCTTCCTCTTCATTTTGCTTGTTTCAGACCATCTGAAAGGAATAAAACACTCAGAGTCAATTAACAGCTTTTCAAACAGAACTTTTTATTGGTTTTAGTACAAGGAAGTAAAAATAAAATAAACCAAATTGCCTTCTAACTCTGTATGATTGTAAAATTTTCAGGAAAAATTGTGTTTGGCAAAATGTGTTTCTGGTTTTCTTTAAAAATTTGTAAGGTAGTTGTTGAATCCAAACCATAATTGAGTTTTCCCTCAATTGAAATTAATATTTACCTTAGTGTTGTTTTCTAAGAGTGATTGTAATCGTGATATGAAAAGCATAACACAGTGAAACACAGCCATATCATGTTAACATACCTTTTTATCAGTGAGTTTGGGAATGTTGCGCTCTTGTCTCTAATCTCTAGGATTATTCTACCCTGAAGGGCTAGAAATAGTAGGAAGGTACTGTGGAGAAATCTCAGTTCACTTACAGCAAAGTGACCTCATCAAGCCTCATATGAAATCATTTTTACCTTCCTTATACTTTTTTTATTCTTTCACCCAAGAGAGTGAAATCTCAGATTGCAAGGTACAACAGGTTATTTTCCCATTCAGCTATCAACAGGAAGCCAATATGAACAGTGTTTTCTTGATGTTATCTTTAGAGAGGAGTCTTAGTGCTACTGTAAGGGTTAAAAAATAATAGGCAGGTATGGGTATTGGCATTCTTGCTAAATGAATGTCATTAACCATCTTGCCTATGGAGAGACAAACACCGGATATGTTTCTGTTCATGCTGGCAGTGTTCAATAGATGATGTTGGCTCGGTGACTGACAGATGGAGATGGGGACCTAACAACTGGAACTGGCTCGGCTAGCCACCAGTAATGCCTCTCAGCAGCGTTTCAGAGCTTGGAATAATGTGGCACATTTTCAATATCTCAGCCTCTCATAATATTTACAAGCACGGTGAGGGCTGAAGTGCTACCCCCCCCCCACACACACACCCCTGCACTATTGTAAGAGATGGATCTCTTCCATGAGTTTTGGGGGCTGGTGGTAGGCAGTGTGCTTGTACATACATGCCCCCATTTTAAAGTCAGAAAGCCTGCTTGCAAGCCCTGCTAGAG